TCGCCACAATAAAATGTTGGCATCTCCGCAAACCACAGATATGATACATTTGTACGTTCCATATATATCATATTAATGTCTCTAAAGTGATGTCGTTCAGATTTCTTGTAAATGAGCTGAGTTTCTGACCAGCAGGAAGAGAGCATGGTGGATGGCGCGGCGCCTCGGTGAGGCAGCTGCCAAGCAGCAGACAGTAGCAGTTCACTGTTTGAGACCAAAAATGACATAAGTAGGTATAATTTAATGAGAGGTTGGGACATTTCTGGACATTTTTGTAGCAACAAAAGCAGGTATTTTTTTAGCAAGAGGTTGGGACATTTCCAGCCAAGTGCTGCAGTAGTTTTTTTTTTTTTTATGTGCAGTCGGGACATTTTTGGCTGTGTTAGTTATGACAAAAACTGGTATTTTTCAACGAGGTCAGGACATTTCCAACTGTATTTGTAGTGACAAAAGCAGGTAACATTTAACGAAAGGTCAGGATATTTCTGGCCATTTTTGTACCAACAAAAGCAGGTATTTTTTAGCGAGAGGTTGGGACATTTCCAGCCAAGTGCTGCAGTAGTTTTTTTATGTGCAGTTGGGACATTTCTGGCTGTGTTTGTAACGACAAAAGCTGGTATTTTTTTAACGAGATGTAGGGACATTTTTGGCAGTGTTTGTAGCAACAAAAGCAGGTATATTTAACAAGAGGCCAGGACATTCCCAGCTGTATTTACAGCAACAAAATAAGATGTTTTGTTTTGGCGCAAGGTTGGGACATTTCCAAAGGTGTTTGTAGTGCCAAATGCGGTAGTTTTTATTGAATGATTGGGACACTTTTGGTCGTGTCTGTAGTGACAAAAGCAGGTAATATTTAAGAAGAGACTGGGACATCCAGTCATGTTTGTAGCGACACAAGCAGCTTTGTAGTGACAAGAGTGGGTAATATTTAATGAGTGGTTTCAACATTTCCGGCTGTGTTTGTTGCAACAAAAGCAGGTATTTTTTAGCGAGAGGTTGGGACATTTCCAGCCACATGCTGTAGTAGTTTTTGTTATGTGCAGTCGGGACATTTTTTGCTGTGTTTGTAACGACAAAAGCTGGTATTTTTTAACGAGAGGCCAGGACATTCCCAGCCATATTCATAGCAACTAAATAAGGTGTTTTGTTTTTGTCAAGAGGTTGGGAGATTTCCAAAGGTGTTTGTAGTGCAAAATGCGGTTGTTTTTATTGAATGATCAGGACACTTTTGGCTGCTTTGTAGTGACAAAAGTGGGTAATATTTAACGAGTGGGTGGGACATTTCCAGCAAAATAAGGTATTTTTTTAGCGAGAGGTTGGGACATTTCTGGCTGTGTTTGTAGCAACAAAAGCAGGTATATTTAACAAGAGGTCAGGACATTTCCAGCTGTACAGTATATAGTGACAAAATAATTGTTGCGGTAAGAGGTTGGGACATTAACAAATATGTTTGTAGTGCCAAATGCGGTAGTTTTTATTGAATGATAGGGACACTTTTGGCAGCTTTTTTGTGACAAAAGTGGGTAATATGTAACAAGTGGGCGAGACATTTCCAGCCGTGTTTTTAGAGACAAAATAAGGTATTTTTCAAGTGAGAATTTGGAACATTTCCAGTAGTGCTTGTACCACAAAATGCGGCAGTTTTTAATGAGCAGTTGGAACATTTTGGCCGTGACCGTGTGACAAAATTAATATTCTTCAATGAGAAACAGGGACATTTCTGGCCGTGTTTGTAGCGACAACATTGTGTATATTTTTTAACAAGAGTAACTTTGTAATGACAAAAGTGGGATATATTTAACAAGCAGTCAGGACATTTCTGGTTGTGTTTGTAGTGACAAAATAAGGTAGTTTTTAGCAAGAGGTTGAGAAATTTCCAGCCATGTTTGTAGCACCAAATGCGCTAGTTTTCAACGAGCGCTTGGGACATTTTTGGGTTTGTCTTTAGTGACAAAAGCGAGTATTTTGACACAGGATGTAAAGACATTTCCAGCCACGTTTGTAGAAACAAAAGCGGATATTTTTTAATAAGACATTAAAGAATTTCAACCATGTTTGCAGTGACAAAAGCAGGTATATTTTAATGAGAGGTTGGGACATTTCCAGTCATGTTTGTGGCGTCCAAACCAGGTATTTTGGACGCCACAAAGTAGTTATTCCTAACCCAAGCCAAGCATTAACCACACTGTTGTCACAACATATAATTGAAAATTAAAAAGTAAGGAAATGCTGAATTCCAACATATCTACTACATATGAAACTCAAAAATGTAACATATCCGTGGTGTACAGAAATGCACACTACCAATACGTATTATGAAGATTTGGTTTTCCCAAGACCTTGTTGTGTACAACAAAAGAGCTGTTGCTGCTTATTTTTTCAGTGCTTCAAGGAAAACAAATTAAATTCTATTCTGTATTGGGACAGCGGCAGAAAATCAAGAGATGCATATCTCAGAAACCAAACAAAACTGTCTGCATGGCAAATACTATCAGGGACAAGCGAGAAAATATGTAGTTTTTTTTTGTTTGTCATTCGAGTAAACAACCATTTAAGTTTGACAGAGGCGCGAGCCTGAGGAATGACTAAATGTGGAGCAGACAATTACAAGAGACATGAACTTGGTATTCTCACACGGGTGGAGTCTTTTGTTTTTTTTAATCTAGACAAGATGATCTTGGCTTTCACCTCACAGAGTTAAAGGTTGCAAATAAAAGAGATGTCTGAGTGTGCACAGGAATGTTCACATCCTCTGGGATTTACACCTCTTACAGTAAATCTGCACCGTGCAGCAGTTGGCCCGTCTCAGACTATAGATGACATATTCATGTCTATGGTATGTGCATTTTGTAATGGCTTTATGGCTGTGGCATATTGTGACAGCAGGACTGCTCAATGGCCTTGAGGAAATATTTGTCTTGCAGGGTGTGGAAGGGGACAGGGCAGGGTAGGAATTCACATGGGGCTGGATCTTGTGATGAAAGAAGGGCGTGAGTGGATGGGAAATAAACAAGTCGCACTGTCACATACAGTGAATGGTGACAGAAAATGAATTAAAAATACGTATGTGAACGCGATGATGGATGACGTGTCGACTCTGGACTGACACTGAGCTCATGAACACGTCCCTGTGCCGTTTAGAAGAGACAGCTGGTGGATGTTTTCACTGCCCCACCCAAACTGTGAAAGACAAAACAGTGCAAAGTGATGTCATTACTACTGCTTATGCAAACCAGCTGTGTGACCTTATGGGCTGTGCAGGATTTAAATTCTCTGTGTTAGAGCACAGACATTTGTATGTGTCTCATGTGTGTAAGTACGTGTGCACATGTTTCTGCGGTTAAAAAAAACAAACCCTCAATGCCCTTTTTACTCACTCTTGAAAGAAATGAGGCTGAAAACATGCAATTGTTAAAAAGTTATTCATCTTTCGCTTTTTATTTTTTCATGTTTAATCCAATTTAAACTACAGGGTGCTAGTAAAATGAAAGTCACATTGGAATGTTAGCAATGAAAAGATACAGGATGGATTTAAAGGAGAAATCAATGCGAGACATCCCATTTATACGTCAGAATATCTTTCTTTGTTCAAGTTTGACAACAAAACATTGCAGTTTGCTTTGTGTTTGATCTCAGGTATAAAACAGTCATAGCCCTTGAACTTATTTCTTTGTGTTATGCGACCTGGATAGAATTTTATAAAGGTGCCACAGAAGTAAATATTTAGTACAACATACGATATGAAATTAAATTCTTTGGCACATACAAGGAACACAACAAATGTTGGTACACAAAATAAAAACAAGACAATAAAGTCACCATACTATACACACTGCACAATATAATACTGATAGTACAAAAGAGCATACACAGTATATTGAAAAGAGAGTAACACTGACAAATGGATGGGCGAAGGTGACAGTAAGAGGCTCTGCAGCCTTAATGAGTCTGTTGGTTACACGGTCAGTCTTGTCATTTTCAGCAGCGACTATGAAGCCACTGTAAAGAGTAGGGCTGCCCCCGACTGAGGAACTTCCTTGTCGACCAATAGTCATCATTTAGGGCCACTCGTCGACTAGTCGCCTGCATGTTTACAATATTAATTTAATTATTAACTTATATATTTTGGGCAGGGCAACACAATGGTTTGAGTTCAAGGTGTGAGAAAGAAAAGTATCATTACAGAGAAATACAAAAGCGTACTAATGAACCTTCATTAATATAGGCCTATATTTTATCTACAAGTGCACGTCACACACTGAGCGAGCCGCCTGTTGATGACGCTGTGGGCTAATGGGCATGTAGCTACTTCCATGTTTCAGATGATACGTCATGTTTGTAGTCGACCAATGAAGATGAGTTTACATATCACCTTGGGTTCGTCCTTCACCTTCTCAAAATGAACCCACACTTTGGATTTCCTGCCCGACATGTTATTAACTAGCCTGTGGAATAACCGCAGGTACCAGCCCTGGAAATTAGGGACCGTACACATGCCGCTTCTTTAACCACATGGAAAATGCGAGAGTGCGGAAATCTTGAAACCCTGAGTGCAGAGCTGATCTTCTTCCAGGAGCTGTTTATAAGTGTGTAGGCCTATCGTCCGTGGGACAGGTGTAAAGCTCTGGGTAGCCCTGCACTAACATGATCAACTTCCACTTCCTGTTTCTGTCCTTTCAAATTACGGTTTGATTTATTTTGACAAGGCACAGAAGGAGCAGCAGTTTTACGTTTGTTTGTTTTTTCTGCGACTAAGCAACCAATGAAATCTTGCCGACTAATGACCTTTCTGGTCGACTAACGTTTGGTCGACTGTCAGGGGGCAGCCCTAGTAAAGAGGCCTGTTGACACTGAGAGTGACTTCACTACAGTTCGCAGTGATAGATTGGAGAACTCCCCGTGGCTACACCTCTTCAAGAAAATGGCACGATTAGAACTTCAATACTCCGTCCTCCTCCTCACCATGGGGGTCTTGGTGACCCATCACTTTTGTCAACTCATTATTTTTGTTTTTTTTTTACAAAAATTGTACACTGTTCACGGCTAATGTCACATGCACGTTCAGACGCACCATTCACTCACGTACTCGATCAAACGCCTAATACTTGTCCTCAACGACGTATACATACAGTAAGCAAGGGAAGCTTAGATGCATGTATGGACATACACACAGTCCATGCACAGTACAGATACAAGTATACGTTAACACACACATGCGGGAAAGCAGCACACACATTCGCGCAGCAATCAGTAACTCAATCAGACAAACAAGATCAGAGCCCAACGGATTTTCTCTCTGAGTTTGTAAACAGATTTCAAGGCAGTGTGATTTATTTCCTCTCCGTCTGTCGTGGCTTTACAATAAACTAAGGAACGATTTTGTTGTGTCGTGTTTACTAGCGGAGGGTTGGTGGGAGCTTTGAACCTGATGACATGCAGAGACCCTGCTGTGTGTTGCCAGCGCGGGGCTGTGACTCCAGAGGCTGCAGTCATCATGGGAACCAGTGCTGACTAATGCTGAAATACACTCTCTTCCCACCCAGTACTGCCCTTCGCCCGTCTCCAGCCTGACTGCCGTCAACAACCCAGGGACTGAGCCTTCGTCGTCATCAGCATCATTCATCACCGCCACCATCATCATCGTCAGACTAGTCTTCCTGATGTTTGTTGAGGCACGAAGCCAAAGAGGGAGGCAAGGGGACTTTAACAAGAGGAGCGTTGATGTAGGAAATTGTTCTAGTCCCTGATGTCCACTTTGCTGTGGACTCTCTGGTTGGGCAGGAGTGGATTCAGAAAGGGGGAGTTTGCATAGGCATGTGTGTATATGTGTGTGTGGATGGGTGTGTTTGCGGGGGTAGTTTCTGGGCTGCAATTATTTGTAGACTATTTCACAGCTCGGTGTCTGCCGTCTTGGTGGTGGAGGTGCCGTTGGTGGGAGGAGGAGGCTGGGTCTTGTCTGCCTCAGGGGACTCTCCATTTGCGCTGGGCTTCTCCGGGGTTTCCGGAGGGGGGTTGAGGGGGGCCACGGACACAAGAGTGTTTCCCTGGTTCTCCTGATCTGCTGGATAGGTCTCCTCAGCCTGCAAATACAGCACAAATGATGAACTCATCACTGGAAGGGTAGACAGAAGATTTCAACAACACCTGGGTGTCAGGAGACTTACTGCTTGTAGACAGAGTGAACCCCCACTTTTTTATGTCAACATAAAGCATGCTTGGACATGTGTATTAAAGGGACAATTCACCTACAAATCAAAAATACACATTTTTGCTCTTACCTGTAGTGCTATTAATCAGTCTAGATTATTTTGGTGTGAGTTGCAGAGTGTTGAAGATATCAGCCGTCGAGATGTCTCCCTTCTTTCCAATATAATGGAACTAGATGGCACTCAGCTAGTGGTGCTCAAAGTGACAAAAAACTACATTCAAAAAACTCAACAGCAATGTCTCTTTACAGACATCACGTCCTGGTTACTGAAGATAATCCACAGATCTTGTTGTTAACAGTTTCATGTAGGAACTATTTTCTTTCTACCAAGCTACACCTGCCAGCTGTATCAAGACAGAAGAAAGCGTGCTAGCTCAACCTATTTTTATTAACAACTCATCAAATACTGACTCTTCGTCACTGGATCGACACGTCAAACTATGACGATCTAGGTATTCATCTAGCATTTTTATTCACTAACTTGTGATCTGGCCAGTTATGTAGCATTGGTTTTATTTGTCCAGGTTCTGCAACAAACCAACAATGGAGTTTTGTGGAGTGTTTTTGTGGAATGTTGGCATCTCTGCAAACCACAGATGTGTTACATTTGTACGTTCCATACATATCGTATCAATGTTCAGTCAGTGTGGTTCAGATTAGTTGCATATGAGCTGAGTTTCTGACCAGGAGGAAGAGAGCATCGTGGATGGTGTGACGCCTCAGTGAGGTGGATGTCAAGCAGCAGACAGTAGCAGTTCACTGTTTTAAACTAAAAACAACAAAAGTGGACATTTTTTTACGAGACGTAGGGACATTTCATGTTTGTAGCAAATACAGCAGGTATATTTAACAAGAGGTTGGGACACTTCCGGCCATTATTGTAGCGACAAAATAAGGTATTTTTTAGCGAGAGGTTCGGACATTTCCATACGTGTTTATAGCGGCAAATGCTGTATTTTTTTCTGAGTGCTTGGAACATTTTTGGCTGTGTTTATAGCAACAAAATTGGGTATTTTTCAACAAGAGCAGCTTTGTATTGACAAAAGTGGATAATGTTTAACGAGAGGTGGGGACATTTTCGGCATTGTTTGTGGCAAAAAAAATAAGGTAATTTTCAGCAAGAGATTAAAACATTTCAACCTATTCTCACTACCACCTCAGAAAATACTGACACGTCAAACTATGATGCTCTAGGTACCCTCTGGCGTCAGTTTTGGACATTAAGTGAAGGCATGTTAATTTACGCTTGTTATATGCATCATGTCTTTGTTTAAATAAACTACTGTTTTCACATGAAATGTACAGTTTCTGCTTGTTAAATGAATGCAATCCCTTTCAAAATAAAGTCAGAACACAGGTAAAAAACATTGTTTTTTAGGTGTATTTTGTTAGGTTAAGGTAGTAAAAGTACATAGTTAGGTTTAGAAAAGAACTCATCATGGTTTGGCTTTAAATATATACATTTGTTACTAATGCAATGTAATGTCACATGACATACACCAGTTGTGTTGTACCCAATGCTGTTCTTTAAAGAAGTCAAATGACTTTCAGTTTCACAGGGAAACCAATGGTGATCTCCCTGGTGAAAATCTGTTGTTTGTTAGACCCATCCACCTCATTTGTGCCCACCCTAAGGAGACTTTCTCGCTCTTTATTCTAGGGCAGTTTCTTGGAGTGTCGAAAAATACCGCAACCCGGTGCATCTCAACCGCTGCTGAGGGTTGCCTCTGTGCATCAGTATCTGACCCTGAGGGCCACAAACCAAGCACTGGTATTTAATGAGCTGGTAGTGAGACTGAGTTGGTGAGCTTATCTAGCATCACTGAGCAGATGCTGAGAATTTTTACATCTCACGCTGTCACAAGCATGAGTCATCCATCCATGAGTAGATGCACGTTTCCTTCTGCGCAGTGATACAGTTGGTGGGAGTAGTTTGGTGGAAAGAAAATAGTTCCTACATGAAACTGCTCACATCAAGGTCTGTGGATTATCTTGAGTAACCAGGTCATTATTTCTGTAAAGAGACATTGCTGTTGAGTTTTTCAAATGTATTTTGGTGCTTTGAGCACCACAAGCTGAGTGCCATCTAGTTCCATTATATTGGAGAGAAGGCAGACATCTCTACAGCAGATATCTCCAACACTCTGCAACTCACACCAAAACAATCTAGACTGATAAACAGCACTACAGATAAGAGGAAAAATATGTGTTTCTGATTTTGGGGTGAACTGTCCCTTTAAAGTCTCCATCACTAACACAGCTGCCACAATAGAAATCCCCCTCTTCACCACACATTGTTATGAAAAGAACAAATTCACTGTGCTGACGTGTTGTGTAGACACGTGGATAAAACATTCTGAGGTGCATTTGATTTGCTGATCACACACACTTCTGTCGTGTACATAAAGACACACATGTACACAGATGCATCCACTAAACCCCACCCCTCCACTATTGCTTGCAAACACACACACAAACACGTCCTCAAATGTGGTCTCCACCATGTGACACTGCGAGTGGAGCAGGGAAACAGCTGCGTCTGGCTCGTAGATCAAACAGCGAGCGCTGCAGATGAATAAGGCAGCAGAGAGCAGGGCGTGGGTCTTTGGATAACGCACACTCACTCTTTCTCTGCGCATTCTCTGTGATAGCCGGCCAGCAACGTTCCCTAATTAAAACGCTGGCGGCGATTGATTCCAAAGGAAGGAAACAGTGCTGTTTTGATTTCAGATGTAGTAAAACATGAACCTTGCCTGAGAAAATCTATGCAGAGTGTTACTGAATGTATAATGAGGGATGAGATTACAGAGACCTGCAAAATACATGGTGAAAAAATACATATATAGATTAAAACCCACCTGCTGCTCAGATCAGTGTTAAAATTTAATAATGGAAACACTTTAGGAGAACTAATCAGCATTATTGTGAACATGATCAAACAAACATTATGCAGAGTCTGCAGTGGAGAAGACTAAATCTATGCAATGATTTTCGATTCATGGGCTCTGTGCTGAATGGTGCACCACTGAAAGGCAACTCGAACTTGTAAACCAGAAAACAAGTAAATGAGGTCCACAGTGGCAGCGCACAGTGCAGTACACTGAAGATCCATGCTAAACACAAAATGTGAAACTGTCCTTACCAGCCTCACTCCTTTGGCGTCAGGCCTGCGTTGGCATTTGAAGTAACCAATGGCGATGGCAAGAGCGGCGAGCAGACCGGTGACCAGTATTCCAACAAATACTGATGATGATGATTCTGATTTCGGGCCCTGAATCTTTGTCGCTCCCAGCTGCAAACAGGTTAGAGATATAAGGCTGTGGTCAAAAATAAGCATGTATGTGAATGTGAAACCATACAGAATTATTGTTCTGTTTATGGACACTGTTCTCCCACAATGCATTGCATGAATTAAATAGAATCTAAATAAATTGTAGCTCTAGAAAGATCTTAGAGAACAAACTGTTTTAAATCTCAAGAAAGGTTTTTGTGACGTTTAATTAGAAAGTGACAAAAGTTGCAGTTGTTTGGTTTCTAATGTTCATTCATTCATTCATTCATTGTCCGTAACCACTCATCCTGTTGGGGGCCGTGGGGGGGCTGGAGTCTATCCCAGCTGATATTGGGCCAGAGGCGGGGTACACCCTGGAGAGGCTGCCAATTAACCTGCATGTCTTTGGACTGTGGGAGGAAGCTGGAGTACCCTGAGAAAACCAATGCTGACACTGAGAGAACATGCAACAGAAGGGCTCCCCCACCCTTTGATTCGAACCGCCCACTCTGAGCTCAAACATGGAACCCTCCTGCTGTGAGGTGACAATGCTAACCACTGCACCACCATGTCACCCATTTCTAATGTTGCACATATTTGATCATTTACTGTCATTATAAAATGGTTAAGTGTGTTGATTTTGTATACAAACTGCTAACACAGCATCCCAGCAAACAGGAAGACGTTGAACCGTCCAATAAACCGTCCCGTTATGTTTCAAAAACAGTTCCAAAAGGGCAGACTTCACTATGTTACTTGTCCGTCAGTTAAACGGCAGCTGGACATCCTTCCTGAATGTCTTAACAACGTCGAATTACAATGTTAATACGACCAGATATCAAACTACTGTTGAACCACATGGGGCTCATATTTTGTTGTCCTGGGTGAAAATCCCCGTACTTTATTCATTTATTCATTCACCAATATGTCAACTTTGTTGCTCTTTAGTCTACGTCACCTGACTTTGAGGCAAAAAGCCTTGAAGGTTAAATCTCCCATGTGAGATCAAAGGCAGCTTGGATAAAGACTTTTGGTCGAAATAACTCAGGCCAAAAATAACGACACGAGTATAATTTACATGTAGATACACATGAACAGCATTAACGTCTTTTTTATAATTAAAAAAATGGGCGTTGAGCTATACTAGTCATTGGACGTCACAGCGTGGTTGCTTGATCACAACTGCGTTGCAGTTTTTGGCGTCCACCTGTGACCACTTTTAGCCAGGGACACAACGTCACTGTTTAAACAATTTTTTTTCTGGAATACTATGACACATAGTATTGACTTTAAAGAATTAGTATATACTGTCACATGGATTTGGGACATCTGATAAGAGTTCATTTCAGTTGCAGGCCCCACAGTGAAGGATTTGTAGGTTTCATGGTTGTTTCACCTCCAAACCGTTTCAAACTGGTGGCATCTTGTGCTCTCTTACCTTTTCTTTCACATGTTCACTGCCGAGTGCTCCAGCCAAAGTAGCCAGGTTAGCTGCAGGGGCAACAAAAATTAGAAATATATCAGTGCCTAATTATTCAGGTCTGTGTAGTATTTTGCTGCAACACAATAGCCAGTCGCCAGAATAAATGTTGGCATTGTATGTTTCTGCAAACCATGTTACATTTAACCGTTACTATATAGCTGATACGTTGAAACTTTATATTTACACAGTACTGTGGTTTAGGTGTGGTTAGATTTAAGCACAAAAGCCACTTGGTAATGGCTAGGGAAAGAAAATGTTTTGGCTTGAATTGTCCAGTTTCAGTTGCAGTATCATGGCTTGAAACGCAGGAGTGTCTTGGTAAAAAACTGTTATTTTGTAGCACTATTACGGGAATGTCTCTTTAAAAAAAACAAACTGCACAATCCAGGCTGGAAATGCAGCGATGTCTCAGTTAAAAAACAACTGGTTTTCGTGGCACTATCCGCAATAGAAACACAGTGACAAGTCGCTTTAAATCACCCATGTTTGGTGGCTATTAAGCAGCTGGAAACGCAGCGATGATTTGCCTAAAAGCAACCGGTTTTGTTGTTTAGTGGTCTCGAAAGGTGATCTGCAGCTTGGCAGGTATCTCGCTTATGTCACGTCATCCATCGCCACCACCACCTCCAGTTAACAAAGTCATTTCATATACTACATCACTTTAGAAACGCTCATATGATACCTATGAAACGTGGTTTGCAGAAACTTACAATGCCAATATTTTCTTCCGGTGACTGGGCTGCAAAAGCACATGCATGGCTTACCATTCTTTACTCTCTACTTTAAAGGCCTTTGCACACTGAGTCTGTTTTTCTTGGATGCGCTTTTTTAATCTGTCATCCGAAAAAAATTGTTATGCATAGAAACCTTGCACACTGATTCCGATGCTTTTTAATGTTCTACTCGTTGCAAAATTCGCAATACATGACAAAATGAAATGACACTTTTCCTCCTTTGCCTCTCTCCACTGGAGTTACCTATCTGTCTATCACCAATCCCTCCCTGTCTTTCATTTGGCAACGAAGCTGAATGAAGGCGTGGAGCTGTCCTTCACATCCTTCTCCTTCGTGTCATCATCTACCTGAATATTACTATCTGACCTGTTGAACATGAGCTATCTGAGTTATAAAATGATTCTGCGCACCCCATTCCTTTGTCTTGTTGCGGCGGCTGCCACATTTTCGTCACTGATTCCTGGTCAAATGTCTCTAAAGGCTCTGACGGATGCGAAAAATGCAGAAAATCAAACCTGTTGCGTAAATTTTAGTGACGAACTCAGTGAGCAAACTTGATTGACACAACGTGAGGTCGTGTTGATTTTTAGATATGTGACAAAAAAATGAACTCAGTGTGCAAAGGCCTTTAGTGTTGCAAATAAATACAACTGTACGTGTGCAAGTTATTATAAGTTGATAGACACCCACCGTCATCACTGGCCACCTGCACCTCGTTGTCCTTTTGGAAGATTTTTAGTTTACATTCATCCTTGGAGCACCAAGCTGCAGGGTTGTCCTGAAGAATGCGTTTAGTTGCTTCCTGTAAGAAAGAGAGAAAATGTAACAATACATGCTTGGGCTAACTCAGCATAGCTGTGTGGAAACCTTATTTTTTGCAGCATGTTTCGTGAAGTCATCTCAAAGTGCATAGCATACTACGATGAAACTGTGTATATTTTGAAAACATAAATTCCCTAACTGAGAGCACAAACTCAGATGTTCAGTGTACAGCTTCCTACACACACAGAGGATAGATATTATATCTCTTTCGGGTGATCACTGGGGCCAACAATCCAATGTGTGTTCCTGAATTTTCCCTGCTGACCATCAGCGCATGTAGGCCTTTGCGTGAGTAATGGAGACAAACAGCAGTTGGATGGAAAACTTGCTGACCACACCTTCTTTCTTCCTACCTTAACCCCCGAACTATGATATCACATCATTGCGCAACTTTAGGCTTTGCAACTTGGGAACACTCTTCATTTTCTGTAACGGGATCCAGACAGCTTTCTGTGTTCCCAGAAGACCACTGTGAGCAAACCCTGAATCCTCAGTTAGTTGGGAGTGGGCCCACAGCTGGCCTCGGCTGTAACACCCAGATCTTTGAGGCAGGGAGGAAGAAACTCCGGCGGGATGAGCTCGAACAGCAAAATCACGGAATGGAACCTATTCTTCCCTCCATCTGTCTTCATCACGTTTCTCTCAGGAATCCTGCAAAGCCTCATCACCTGTTTCGCTTGACCTCACGTGGCCTCGTGCACTCAGGGCTGCAGTTCAGATGACTTACAATTGATTTGCATTCAGATAAACACAGAGATTTAGTATGATACTAAAATCTGTGTGAAGAAGGAGAACAATGTGTTTTCTTTTATTTTGTCACATTAGACGCTGCCTTTCATGGTGACTGATGAGTCGGGGATTTACAGAGGTTTGAAGAAGTCCTTTCTCATTTTCCACTACTTCAGAGCATTGTTGCTTTATTAAATTTGTTCCATTGATACAGGCTGTTCCTTTATCACCGTCTTCCATGCCATTCACTCGCTCCTGCCTGAAGAGAATCGTGTGTTTTTTTTTTTCCCTACGTGCATTTTGAACTAATCATCAGCTGGCTATGGTCCCTGGCACTGTGGTCCATGTTTAGTTTCAGGTTGAGTTGGACAGATGACTTCTGCAGATGTCTCCGTGGATGACACAGTAACGATCCAAAGAGAGGCTAACTGAAGTATGTGGACCAGGAGCTGACCTGCTTCTTCCGCTCTGTGCACCTGGACTGGCATACTGTACAGTGTAACAATGACTTGTATTTGAGCGTCATGTGTATTGTCTAACAACTGTGCATGCAGCGAGGAGTTAACAGTGAAAGGCAGAGCTGTAATTTTGTACCAAGATGGCATCAAATGTGACATTTTCTAAAGTTTGGAGTACTTTGTTAGACACAGATGTCTCACCCTTTCCTGATGTGAAAAATCCTGAAAAACCCCTCTACGTGCTTTAAAGGCTTTTCTCTAATGTAAAAAAGAAGCCACACCCTTGAGATCCCTCCTTTCTCTTAAGGACCCCAGAGCAAGAGAGGAAACATTAACCCTCCTCTTCATTTGTCTCCGGCCAGGAACACGGTCTCCAGATTTACAATGCCTGAGGAATGTCTGAGAAAAGATCTGCCTTTATCGGGGCCATATTTCCAACTGTAGCGCTTTGAAACACATTAATCTTTTTCCTCCAAGTCAGTGAGTGTCAAACGTACAAACCGCGGGCCAGAACCAGCCCACCAAAGGGTCCAATCAGGCCCAGTGGATGACTCTGCATACCTAATACTGGTGCACGTGTGAAGTCAAAAGGCTCATTTATACTCCCTTTGTGTAAGAAAATAGATATGTACATTTTAAACAATAGCCCTTTTTAAACAGGAGTTGTGCAAATTTGCAGGAAAGCCCAATCAGTCTTCTTTCAGCATTGGCAATTTAGCAAAATGCCAACTACCTACTTTTGTTTATACAGAATGCGCCTTTTTTGGGGCAATGGGGGGCGTGAGCAAGTAACAAAATGTGTAGCTCAGCGTGTGACGTAAACAGTGACGTGGGAGGGAAGCCGCGGCTGGTCAGTCCCTCGGCGATTCTCTCATAAGTCAGCCCGTTCTTCACCGTCCCCGTCATCTGACGGTTAATGGCCTCTTCCTTTGCAAGGACAAGGAGGGCACGCAATTCTTTGTCTCCCCAGTTGCTCATCTTTACAGTGTCTGTCAGGTTTGCATTTCCCTCTTGCTACTAGTTGCTCGCTAATTCCTGCTATCAGCTGTTTCCTGTTTATCCACCGCCAGTGGCTCGCACGTACGGTGTCATCAACAGCTCCTCCCACAAGTCATCAACAGCCCCTACCCTATGAGGCGGAAAATTGGGCACCTTGGATCAACTCGCCAATCTGGCTCTGTGTGTCTAAACGCTCGCAGCTTGCCGGCAAAACGGCCCAACATTCGCGGAAAATCTGGCAGCCTAAAAGGGGCTATTGTGACCTACACAGCCCACATACATCCATGCTTCCTTTATGATGGCATAGAGCAGTGGTTCCCAACTGGTCCAGCCACAGGGTCCAGATTTCTCCTTAGTCATTAGTTCAAGGTCCACACAGTTTAATACATTCAGCGTCTTACTTGTGTTTGGCCATGTTGTCGAGCTGGTTTGCTGTCTGTTAGTCACTCACTCTACAGCAGGAAACAGCACTTCAGACTATAAGTTTGTGCCGGATATACACTGTGCTTCAAACTTTACAAACTTGACACGTTCCAAGTCATTTGCAGTCCATTCAGAATGGACCCATGATCCACTTTTGGACCGTGACCCACCAGCTGGAAACCGCTGGCATAGAAACATTCAACTGATGGCACCAGAGCACTGGGTCAACGGTTTCAGAGGCAGCGTTGTAGACGGATTTCGTCTGTGAGGCAATAAATACATCACGACATGCAGACTGAGAAATCTTTTCACTGTATTACTGATTCGTTGAAATAAATGTAGAGTATAGACAGAAGGCTCTCTCTGTGCCCATATATGAGCCATATATGAGGTGCTAGGTTTTTCTGAAAAAACAATGAATACCTATTGTGGTCATATTCAAAGATATTGAACACTGAGCACAATATTGTCAATCAGCAGCTTCAGTACAAAAGAATCTATATCATACACCTATCTTACAACAGTATTGGTGGAACCCTGTTGCTTGGGCCCTGCCAAACCTTTGGATTTTAAATGGTATCTAAGGCAGGAAACAACTTAACCTGCTTCTGTAACAGCTTCAACTTTAGTTTGATGTGGTAATACCAGCTTTACTACACAAGGGTAGATTGTATGGAAAGAAGTTTAATGACAGTGAATAGGAAGACTCAGTACGTTTACATGCACAGTTAAGTCAAGCTACTGTTACAGCTCAACTGGGTCATTTGATTGGACTGCTGTCTTTGTCCCAGTATGCACGCACAGGAAGGGAATCAATTCATTTACCTAAGTATGTCCAACTCCGCTACGATAAATAGCGATATGCCTCCTTTCAGCTTGTTAGTATTAATCTATGACGTCACAGACCTAACAATTGACAAACAAGTTAGCTATGTTTAACTAAACTGGTACCATGGTGGACAACTTTACAATTCTGCACATTTCGTCCGTCCAGAAATGCACGGCTCTGGAAATGGATTTTCTTCTTCTTCTCCTTCTTCTTCTTCAATCCTACTTCTCATGCGCGAAAAATCACCAAAATTTGCACAAAGATCCAGTCTCATGCCAGATATCCTCAGCTGCAAACACAAGTCAATAGTCCTGATGGTGGCGCTACAGCAAGCGTCTAAAGTTCAAAACTTTGAAAATTCACAACAAATCGACCGTATGTGCTACAGCTTCGCAACTTTCACCAAAATGTAGCCCCAATACTGAAGAAACTTTTGTGCATTTAAATCTATTAAAAATTATGAAGTTCATCACTGTTTTTTTCAAAAACTGTGAAACTTCTTAAACCTATCTCCTCCCACAATTTTTGCTCAATCGACACCAAACTTGCTACAGAGCATCTTCAGACTGTCCTACACAAACAATCCTCACAGATTTTTGATTTATCAAAAACTGAGCCTACAGTGCATCAAGATGTTTGACTGTAAACAGTACTGAAAATAGACACTTGCAAATTCTTGCTAAATAAGTTTTCAATGCTCATGAAAAAAATTAACAACATTTTGGAGTCACGTTAGATGATGTTTGGCAAATATCAGAATTTTATATCAAAAACTGAATTTTTGACAGCATTTTGAATTTTGTTCGCACGTGAACAACTGGAGTCAATGCAAGAATGGCATTTTTAAACATCAGTTTTTCACTTATGGAGTAAATCAATCATTGTTAAAAACAAATTAACAACATCTCCATGCTGTCTAGACGCAAGATGTGTATTTTCAGATTTCTGTCTTGATAACTGAATTTATGACAGCAGTTTGAAATCTGCCTTGACAGCTGCTGACATCCTGGTGGCTGGCTTAGTCAGTTTGTGAAGCCAAGATGGCACCTGCTAATTAGCTCTGTCGGATAGAAGATGCTCCTTGGTGTCAGAGGTTGTAAGTTCAAGCCTCAACTGATGCAAAATGTACATTGTAATGGCAGCTTTCTTGTTGTCTTCCTATTCTGCCTCTTGTTGATCAGAATTGCCTAAATTTGCCTAAAATTGCCCGGCAATTCATAATTACAAATTGTTTTCAGGAAGAGGCGACTCCCAATCACATTATCTGGGTGTGTTAGTCTGACTTTGAGAAATTCGATTTAGTACAATTTCAGTCGTACTAACATATTGACATGTATTTAAAAGTCCGATTTTAGTTGCACAAACACAAGAAATCAATCTTCTCTAATGTCATGTAAGTGTACAGACTGTCTGAATGTGAAGAAACTGAGAGTGCTTTCACACCCAACCTGTTTAGTTTGGTTAAAACGAACTCAGGTCTGTTTGCGTGGTTAGTACAGTTCGTTTGGGCTGGTGTGAAAGCTGTGGATTGAACCCTGGTGTGGCCAAACAACCGAACCGAGACTGCTTGAAAAGGTGGGGCGGGGTCCACTTCCAAATGGACTCTGGCGCACTTCGTTTGTGGTGCGAAAGAAGACAAACCAACCACCGGATTTTACAACAGCAGATATGTGATTTTAGCTGCAGCTAAACCATTATTAAATCCATCTGTGATTGTCTGCATAATAAAAGGAAAAATATGGAGGTTATGTTATTTATAGGTTATCATGCAGTGGTTTTACTGGTCCTGCCCACATGGGATCAAACTGTGCTGTATGTGGAACAAGAACTAAAACGAGTCTGACTCCTGCTCTAAGTGGAATAAGCCACTTCCTCTGGACCGCAGGTGAAGGGGGCCAGATAAGTTTTTTTTTTTTTAAGGAACGTGTTGCTAGACGGTAACTCAGCTCTCTCCTCTTGGCTCACTGTGGTCTGAAAGACACATGCCAAAATCTCGGCTGGTGGTAGTTTGATTCTGCCTGTGGCTGGCAGGGAGGAGAGGAGCGCTGTTGTTACAAGCTGTATGACATAAAGGAGGTGGGAGGACGTAGCTCTGGTGGTGGTGGAATATTGTGAGGGACATAGACTCACAAGTCAGTCTTTAGATGCTTTGCTTAACTAAAGACTGATGACTTTCTCCCTGGTTTTGTGTTTAGATGGGCGGATACAATTTCAGAGTTTAAAAAAACTCCCTACGTTGCAGAACCAATAGTAAATCTGCAGGGCGGTCCTTTGGTGGCTCGCTGAACTCTTGTGCTTGTAAACATAGTCCCACTAGAAACACGTGTAGCGGTACAAAATGGCTCAGCCGCGCTCGCAGAAAACGCCGTCAAAGTTCAGTGGATGTTCGCCAACTAAAAGAAACAAACATAATCTTTTACAAGGCCATGACTCATCCGTCTGGCCGGACTATAGAGAGAATCGCCTTGTTGTTTACAAATACTTCCGGGTAGAAAACCAGCAGAGCTTTTAGCTAATAGCCTATATATCACATTTTTCACATCACTGTATCACCGTTTAGACTAATCCGATGTTTGTAAAGTCTATAAACACAATGATTGAACAAACATTACTATTTCTGTGTGCAAGTTTAGCTGGGCTAACCGTTAGCTGTTAGCCCTGTTAGCCCTGTTAGCCGTTAGCAGTGTCTGTAATAGGTAATAACTCATTAAACGGTCCGTGAAAAAAATATCTTTTCCAGCGGATATCTTAGTTACAACATGATTGAGCTAGCAAAGCAGTTTTGTGTTGCTATGTGTGGTATTTATTCAGTTTTAGGAAATCACGATGTCTAGAACGCACCAGTGGCTGCAGCTGACAGGGACAGCTAACAGCAGCAGCAAAGCTAACAGGACGTCATCTGTTAAAAGCCTCCCGTTGTCGGATACGACATGAAACTACTCCAGTTAGCTCAATAATGTTGTAACTAAGACATCCGCTGGAAAAAATATTTTCTTCACGGATGAGCACACGTTTGATAAAACGGAGTTAAATCTATAGGCATCCATTTTCAAGCTCTCTGTGTGTTTGTTTCCTTGCGGACGAGAAAAGGAGGAGCGCACATTTCGGAGAAGGCGTGCCCTTTTCAAAAATGCAAGAGGCGTTGCTTTGTTGCCGGCCGTTTTCACCGGTCTGTTAAACACACTTTAGAAAGGAGTGTCCCCAGACTATCAGAAGGCAGAGATCTCTGATTGTCTGGTGGCGAGACTATGAGGGACAAAGAAAATAATAAACTCACACAATCAGTTGTTGCTAACTCAGCCTTGACAGAAGAACCTTCTGGAATTTCCGACTCTCCAACACACGTCACCTCAGGCTGCAGGCAGAGTGAGACATGTCAGAGAGACATTAGAGGTCAGGAGAAGAAAGCACACTTTGCACAAATGGTTTCAACCGCAACATCAGTCTTCATCAAAACAATCATCAAAACAAAGTCTTTATTTGAGTTTGATTGTATGCTGATGTTAAAAGGACAGAAAGAAGAGAAGCACCATCTGGACATGGTACTCACCACAACAAGGCGGATGACAACTGGGACCTTGGTGTCTATGCCAACGGGGGCAGCAGTGGTGACTGAGCTGCCTGCATCATGGCTATTATGAACTAGAAGGTCAGAAAGGGATGCTGGGACTGTAATATGTTCAGGAGTAGCAGAAGCAGCAGAGACTCCACCTGCAGCAGCACTCGCAGTAGCGTCCGCACCTGGGGCAGAGGTGGGGCCTGGAGCTGCACCAGAGTCCGCAGCAGCTGTTACTAAAAACACAATCCAAGGACAGTTCTATTAAACACAGGCACATACTGGGTGTGTCGAGGTCTGTCACTTGTCATGTCACTTCTTAACTCGGGAATAATTTCTCAAAAATCCCAAATCTCACTGTACGTATATTAAGGTGCCTACCAGCGCTGTAATCTCCAGCTGTAGTAGGTGCATCTGTCGGTGGACTGTCTTGACACATCACCTCATCTGCAAGGAGGGGAGACAGACAGAGAGACAACAACTTAAAGACTTTGACTCTTATCTGGTGAATTAATTATCTTTGATACCTGCAGGAATTCATGAGACAACTGTAGCTCTGGAGGTGTAAACAGTGTATACAATGTTGCTATGGACACAGTTAGTTAGCTGTAGGCTATGACTTGAACTGCCAACCTGTTTTTATTTGCCTAAAAAGGCTTACATTTTAGCAAACTAGCACCATTAAAAGTATGCCTAATTAACTGTTAGCAGTTCTTGTTTGCAGTATATGAATGTACAGATAACTATCATTGGATTACTTTGATGCTGAAGGAAATAAAAACTCAGGCATCATCTGGAGTTACAAGGAACATCTTTTTCTTTGATTTCTGAGCAGACTGTCGAAGATAATAACATCATTGTGAAGTGGAAGTCACAGTGACACTAGAAATGTCAGCATCATGTCTGTGTCAGATTCTACGGAGTTAAGACTTTGATAAGAAATACGACTTTTGACTCAAATTGTAGCAATCGAGTGCTGAAAGCACCATAATTGCCTCCCTGATCTGTCACAGTCTCTGCTGGAGCTGCAAGTGCTGGCCATGTTGGTACGTGCCAAATCAGCAGGACAAACTACAATGACTAAGGGTGCTTTCACACCTGCCCTGTTTGGCTCGGATCAATCAAACTCAGGTTTGTTTGCCCTTTTGGAGTGGTTTGTTTGAGCAGGTGTGAGCACAGCAATCACACCCAGGTGTGCACCAACACAACCGGACCGAGACCTTCTTGAAGAGGTGGTCTCAGTGGTGGTGGTCTCATCTGAACCAACTGCAGTCACATGACACATTGTTTGGGTTAAACATGAGCATGTTACAGTCCTGGAGGATTATTAATGTGCACCTCCTCCTGTACTGCCTTAATATGCACATTCAGCACATCCAATGCATCAAAACATTGTTTTCTAGTTGGAGCCGCGCCTTGTTTTCAAACTGTATGGTTTGACTAAAATGAACAATGACAGCAATATAGTCCACGATGAGCAGCGCTAAAATTTACCTGCGTAGTTGTCCCTCCATTGTGACATTAGAAAGTGTCACATTTATCTTGCCAGTGTACTCTTCTTCAACGTTTGCTTTACTTCCTGGATTTTTCCCACATGGAAATTCTGACCAATCAAGAGCAGCTTTCTCACACAGGCATTTGATCTGGTCCACTTATAAATGCTGCCGTGAGAATACGAACCAACTCTAGGCAGTTATACAACTTTGGCACAAAATGAGTCTAGGTCTGAAAGCACCCTAAGTTCCTGTTGTTTTTAGAAATTTGTTTCCCCTTACCTTAACCTATGCCTAACCTTATCTCCACCCCCAACCTAATATTTCTGCTACACCGAACCATAACCTTGGAAATAACTTTTGGAAATAAAGTTTAGTATTCAAGGCAGGAACAGAGTTCGACCACAGACAGTATAAAAATATTGGATGTAACCAAACCAAATTTGGCACGTGTTGTCATAGGTTCTAACTAACAAGTAATTACATATGGGCTTCTTCTCACTATCTGCAGCCTATGCAAATAAACAGCTCAGTCAAAAGGTCATGGCCTCCTGACTGCACGTCCGTCCTCTGGGGGAGATCCTGTTTCTGTAATAACCTTGGGATTAAGTGGGAAGGTGCTAAAACCTTTCAGACACAGGAAGGTTAAGAAAAGTATGAAAGTATTTCCCAAGTTCATGTGAGGGTTTTCTAGGTAAATGAATAAATGGCTTCAGTAAGCTGATACCTTTTGAACGCCAGTGTCCAATTTAATATTATGACAGAGAAATATCCCTAGTGATATATTGGTTTTTAATGTGCAGATAACTGCAAACTTTCACATTTGAACTATCTGTGGGTCGTCATCTTAATAATGTTAAAGAGACAGTTCCCCCCAATATAAAAAACCCACATATTTTTCCTCTTACCTGCAGTGCTATTTATCAGTCTAGATTGTTTTGGTGTGAGTTACTGAAGGTTGTAGATACTGGCCACACAGATGTCTTGCTTCTCTTGAATATAATGGAACTAGATGTCACTCGACTTGTGGTGCTCAAAGCGCCAAACAAACAAACAAACAAACAAACAAACAAACAAGTAAAACCAAAAAAAAATGAACGTCTCTTCCCATATGCCATGAGCTGGTTACTCAAGATAATCCACAGTCCTTATTGTGAGCAGTTTCATGTAGGAAACGTTTTCTTTCTACCGAACCACACCTGCCAACAGAATCACCTCCTAGGAGGAAGCGTGCATCTACTCATGAGCCGTGTCTCAACTTAGGGGCTGCAGCCTTCGAAGGCACAACCAAGGCTGTCTTATTTCAAAGGCTCCTTTGAATGCGGCGGAGAAATGCAGCCTTCTTTTCCAGAATTTGGAGGATGCAAGATGGATCCTTCATGGCTTGTGACAGTGTGAGATGTAAACAGTAACAGCGTCCTCCTTAGCTGAGTTGTAATATTAGCTAGCTCAGTGGTGCTAGCTGAACTAGCAGTAGATGCACACTTCCTTCTGCGCTGTGATACAGCTGGCAGGTGTAGTTCAGTAGAGAGAAAACAGTTCCAAGATGAAATTGCTCACAACATGGTCTGTGGATTATCTTGAGTAACTGGGTCATGATTTCTGGAAAAAGACATTGTTGTTGAGTACCATTTTGTTTCATTATATTAGAGAGAAGGCAGACATCGCTACCGATATCTCCAACACTCTGCAACTCACACCAAAACAATTTAGATTGATATATGGCACTAGAGGTAAGTTTACAAAGCAGTATGTTTGATTTTGGGGTGAACTGTCTCTTTAAGGAAAACTGAAGTTGCATCAACATGTGTTAGGTCCAATCAGGGATCACACTGCCAATCAAAAAAAGAGCACTAATTCCCAGTATAAATCCATGGCTAACAAGAGCTACAGCTCTGTAATCCCATTTATCCTTCACCATCATTTCTAAACACTCTTATCCGCATGGAAGGAAACCAATATAGTGTGTAAACACTTTAACATCTAACCAAAACTATGCTGCAATCAGAGGAAAAATGTGTTTGGTGCACCACTATCATTATTCAAATAATCACCAGATACATTTATATCAGTGAGGTGAATTCAGATGTTTTGTGTGTGTTTGCAATCCTGTAAACACGACTGACTTTAACTCTGGAATATGTTCCAGGATCGTTGTGGGAATGTTAGCAACACAAACAAAAGGTAACGTTACATCATTTTTTTACAGCTGGCAACTGGCCACCATGGTAGTGTACATACAGCACTGTAGACCAGGCTCTGGAATATATATGGTTCCCTCCTGCAGTGTGTTTTATCTCAACACTGGCGTCAACTGGCTGAATGTTGTCCAAAGCTGGTCATGTGCTGCATTTTAACTGGTGTAAGTGGGCATAAATGTTTAACTAATGTTTAACTGTGCTATTACAGCCTTTAGCTAATTGCCTTCGGCTTGAGCTGCGATGTTTAACAGAGCAATAATGTGGGACAAATATGTTCAGCCTCTACTGCATTGAATTAACCTTGTAACTCAGTTTATGTCTCATAGGTATAAAGATTTTATTTTGACAAATGGTATCTGTGGAGTGTGTTTAAAGCACTTCACTGTTAGATGTTGTGTTTTATAATGTAGGTTTTTACCTCCCCAGTATCTTAAAAGGGTTCTCTAGTTTAAACACACATTACATGCACAGATTCTGCACACATATAGACGTATAAAGCACATACATTATGCTCCCGATGCACGTGGACAGACATGCCTCCACACCACTCAGCTGTCACATGCTGAGACTCTGTGCACTATGTCAGAAGTTATTACACAGTAACACTCCAACAGTGTGGACACAGACACATCAGACAGCTGTGTGAGAAATCTCACTGTGTTTCCAGCCAGGCCCCTCAGCATCAACAAGAAGCCTTAAGACCTCCAGTCTCAACACAAACACAGAAACATACATAACACTCCTACTCCATAAACACAACCTCGGCCTCTCTCCAGAGAGTTTTTAATGGGCTCAAGAGCACGCGGCTGCAGACTATTTAACCTTTGGGTTCAATTCTGATGTTCACTACTGGGCTACACCAAGTGGATTTCCGGCCCTGGCTGTCCTCCTTGAAGCTTTCAGTCTGGGTGTTCCAGTCTTTGACGTGGTGTGTGGTGTGCAGCCATGCCAGATGTAAAGAACTAAATCATAGACTAAAGAGAGGATACGATTTGGGCCAGGGACGCTGAGTGACAGTTCAAATGCTTCACTTCTTTCCCCCTGTGGTTGGACAAATCAACAGCAATTATAAGGCAGCACAAAGGCAGGCATCTCACCAGCAAATGACAAATGGAATTTGGTGGATGCTTCACGTGCCTCGCAGCACCATGCCTGCTCACATATTTAGCACACAAAGCCCCTGGCAAGTTTTTTGCTTCATCTATGAAGAGAGTTTTGGTGGTGTTTTCTTTGTAAATATTATTTAGTGTTGTAAATAATAGTATTTGTGGTTTTTTGAGAGCTTTTGAGTTTTTTTATGCTGTGTTTTTGAGTGTTTTTTGCCATGTTTTCGTCGTGATTTCACCATAGTTCGTAGTTTTGCCATCGTTTGTCTTTTTTGCAATAGTTCGTAATTTTATAGTTCATAGATAGTTATAGTCAGTTATAGTTTTGTAAATACTTTAGGAGAAATGTCGAGGAGGTCAACGAGGGACAGGAGAGTCCCGTTGAGATTTGTGGATGAGGAGGATGGACCGGAGGAGACTGGTGGAGTGTAGTCATCTCAATCACAGTAAGTAATAGAGTTTGTATTCACTGGATATGTATTCCCAGTTTTATTACAATAATGTTTTTCAATATCTAGTGTACATTTTCTTATTGGCTCGTTTTAGAATCGAGAATCGTTTTAAAATCGAAATCGTTGCCCTCAGAATCGGAATTGAATCGAATCGTGAGGTGCCTAGAGATTCCCACCCCTAGTAAACAGTATGAT